TATACTAGTTTTTTGATAAATAATTTTCCCTGAAAAATGCTCAAAGATTCACGAGCCCCTCTCTCTAGTGTCTCGGTCACTGGTGAGTTTTCTTTGAGATAAATATCAATATATAGCATTGTTAAAATCTAAGCACGAAGTGCGCCCGCCAAGTCGAGCAAAGTAAAAAGGGCACGGCCATACCAACCTTTTCTCGAAGCCATTCGGGCCATTTTTGACCCCCTGTTATATCTAGCTGTATCATAAGATGTGTTTGTGGAATTAAATCAGGTTGAAAAATTTGCATATATTGAGAAAATGAAATATTCGAGACTATTCTTCAAACTATTCTTGTTTCTAAAATTATTTTAATCTACTAAGGTGCTTATGCAGTGGTGGTTAATTTTTTTAAATATCACGAGATATTACGCGTACGCATGTCGAAAGATTATTTTTAGCACATACATAGTATAAAACAAAGTCGCTTTCTCTGTCCCTTAAATCTTACTAAGTACTTAAATCTTTAAAACTACGCACAGGATTTTGATGTTTTTTTATAGATAGGCTGATTCAAAAGGAAGATTTATTACAATACAAGACCATGCAGGCAAAGCCGCTGGCGGAAATCTAGTTACTTTTAAATGCTAATGTTTTTAAGGGGGGAAACTTTTGATTGTTTGTTTGCATTGTAATATAGTCTGATAGCTACTGATAGGACGGATTTAAAAAAATCTTCAACTACTAGAAGTTATATAAAACATGTGTAATATAGGATATATATAAATATACGTGAACGAAGTATTAATATTTAGAGACCAATAAAATTGAATTATATTTTTAATTTAACATTTTTTTCTTTATTCAACATTAAAGAGTAGATTAAAAACTGTATTTAAGAACACAATTTATTTTGTTGGAAGCATGTTTCGCCAAACTAGTTAACTCCAATGTTTCTGTTGCTCTGAAAGCGTCTGGAGCAGTTAATTTACGTTTTATTTGTTGTATACAGAGGGTTTGGAGGCACTGCACTGAACAAGATGACGTGTTTACGATCGGCTGGGAATTTACAGTCGCTTGTAATATCGGTGCACAGTTTTAAATGGACGTCACACAGCCATCGCACACACACTGCCTATTATTTCTTTTTATAATTAAATATATTCATTTAAATACTTTATCGGTATATATAATAAAAATTGGATATCCCCCACCTCTTTGTGTTTGAACGCAATAAATTCATAATCAACTGAACGGACATTCATGCGATTTTTAATATTGGATATATAATGATTTCTTATTGAAGGTTTATGTGTTCAAGGTTGTAAATTTTTGTGTAATTCAGCTGAAATAACATGTTTAATGCGTCCTCATTAAATAACCCAAGTGATTAAGTAGATAATTTAATTAATAATCAACATTATTTAAATACAACGATAGTTAAGCTGAAACACACAGAGGATCGGTTTTAACTCTAAAACTAAATAACAAGACAACTTGGACAGCAAGCTAAGACGCCGAGCAAACTTTCGTTGGATATTGAATCGGCGCTCCGATGATTAGTGTATCTAGCATTAGTTGATTCGTTAGGTCACAAAGTTTCATTAACACTAATGATACTTAGAGATATGTGGTCAGAAATGCATACTGTCTGATTTAATCTCTGAAAGGTATAAAAAAACTAAATATCTTAATTGAAAGACATGTGAAAGTCCTGTGTCCAAAGAGATATTGAGAGGTAGGAAAGTCCATCCCTATTGAAAAAAATAGGATATCACAGCATTTCTAACTCGACACACTTCATCTAAACGACTCTCGTATGCGAAGAAGACAAAGAATCTTATTAGAAAAAGACGTGACCAGAATAAATGTAAGGATTACAATTGATGACGTAGTGTTGGTAGAATTAAATGACTTTGTGTATCTTGGATGTGGTAATAGCAGGAGTAGAAGGTACACCATTGACATAGAGAGGAGAGTCGGTGCTGGGTATAGTGTGAATGGAGCGTTAGGAAAACATGTTGGTAGCAAAACCTTAAGCTAGAATATAACGCGGCGCTGATTCCAACTCTAATTTATGGTATCGAGTTGGATATGTCAGAATGAGCATTAATTAGAATAAATGCAGACATGTAGGTAACGTAAATGCCGAGTAACGCTCTTAGACCACATTCGTAATAAAGAGATAAGAAAGAAAGTACACCTGAAAGATAGCATCAGCATGAAATCAACAGAAATATTCATTGCTAATGAAAGCAGAGAATGCCTTGTGGCGCTAGTTACACTCTGCCTATCTAGCAAAAGATACGGCGTGAAGATATATAGGTAGGTAGATAGAAATATATAGAGTAATTTTGTATGCTACAGCTTTTGATATATATATAAATTTTATTGCAGTTAGAACAACATAACTGCAGTTGCAGTAGTCTGTCTAAAACGATGGCGTCTCGCGTCGTACATACAAATTCAATTAGATGTAGCCGTCTGGCGTATAATACGACAACACATCTTATTTCACCACGTACGTATTATTCTATAATTCTACCAAATTGCGTACACATTTAGCAATAAAACATCAATAATTTATGAACTGTTTAAAGAGCCAGTTTGCTTACATATTAACTAACCAGGTGAATTAGCAGAGCTGTGATTATTTGTTATATTTCAGCGTATACGTCTCATGTATTTAGAAATAGTAACGCTTTTATTGCATTTGTAGACTTTTCCTTGGTTCACGTCCAAGCCACGTCACGAATCTAATTTGATAAACAAATGGGGCCCGTTTTATCTTTTCTTATCTGAATAAAAATCGAAACTAGTTATTCTATTAACTCCCCCTGGTTGGCAAAAGCTTTAAACGCGAGAGCCGTCAGAGGAGCTGTCAAATAAATGTCAAACAACCACCGCCATATTTACGGTCGCGTTCAGTTGCTAAACGGTTTTTTATGGCACAATTATGCTGTTCGCTAAATACAGCATAGTGTTAGGCTATTTTTCCACTAGAGGTGTGATATTACCTTGTACGTTGCTATGAATGCATCTGATATTCATCGCTCCATTTAGAATAAATACTGGTGGAAACAGTTTCAACTATTATTACTAATACATTGTAGTGTACAAACTGACAGTGGGGCATCTTTTAGTTCAAACACCAGACCCTGGACATGATCGTGAATCAAAGATTTTGTCAAGATAAATCAAACTAGCGCAAACTCCATGGTGTTTTGTTTAGTTACAAAGGTTCTATGGCTGCTTTTTGACCGGCTCAGGTACCTCAATATTGATAGCATATCTTACTCGCTCTGCTATAAAACTTAGCATCAGTGGAAACGATAATATTTCATCGCTTATCTTTCACATCCTCGCAGCTACCATATCTCTGCTGTAAAACCGCCCTTATGCAGTATTTTGGAACGTTCGTGTTTCGAGACGGTGTCGGTTTTAAAAGCTTTCCTACGCACAGTTGCGCTATAAATTTTGATCGTGACTGCCTTTCGAAACTCGTTGCATTAGACGTTTTATTTTTTGGGATACGTTCACCTGTACTTTTTAAATAACACCTCATGAAAATTCCAGAAAGAAAAGGCAATATTAATTAATCTAATAAGTTAGTTTTTTGTTGATCGAGCAAAGAAAGATAGTTTGTGAATCGTGAATCAATAGAAAAGAAACGAAGCATTTTCGTACAAATCAAATATATCGATTAAATAATCAACGTGTAGCAATCTAAAATTTAATTAGGTGTAGGTATTTAAGTCTTTATAACGACGAATCAAGCTTTAATTAGAAATGAATTCTGGTAAACATATAATTTTATTATTATTTCTGTAGTATCTGGTAAACTGCTTCTATGCTCCCATGATATATTACATATATGAAAATGTATTTCTGTAGTGTTAGGTAGCCATAGGACTAACGACAGAACACGAGCTTTACCGATGCGTTACTCATTGACAGGTTGCAAATGAACGGCGTACAGCGACAACCAGCGATTTTTATTAGGATTGACAGGTGTTTCTTTCAAATTTTCCATTTTTTTTGCCACCATAAAAACTTTCATCGTATTTCAATGAAAGGTGTTACCAACAAAACAAGTAGCCGAATCAGTTGAATTCTGTAATATGCATTTATATATGTTACATTATACCCGCATAATTCCACATTACAAAAGGAAACATTATGATATGGAAGAGTTGGAAAATGGAAACAAAGCGATAAATAACGAAATTCTTCAGCGGCCTCGTCGACCGTCTGCAACCGTCTGTGACAAGAGACAGGAATGAAGACAAACACACTTTATTTATACGTACCGAACGTCGACGTCGGAATCGAATATCCATGTTGGTTAATTGTACTTCGACTTATTGGATTATTTGTGACGCCCGATGGGCTTACTTTTGGTTTGAAAGCTTACGATGTGTAAACAAATAATATCAAAGAGTAGAACCTCTGAGGATATATTGTCGATATACTAGGAATTTTATCGTTCTGCCTACTCTATGTTATTATAAATACCTAATAATAAAAAAAATGATCTGAAATATTTGACTAATACAGTGGTCGGAATTAGGTAGAGTTATTCATGTACTTACACTGATTTCATACAGCGAAAGAATAAAGTGGATATGCCTCAAATCCCGAGATTAATTTTAAAGAGCAGAAAAAAATCCCGTGATTTTTTAAATAAAAAGTAATTTACTTTTACACAATTTAAACTACTGCACGCACGACGTTGCCAAACTTACATCAATCGGACATCGGATGTCCAAAGTTGCAAAATTTGTATTGTAAATTAATGTAAAGTAATAAAAAATTTATGTTAATTATCTTTGTTTTATTTGTCTATCTCTGACGTTGTTATTATTATTTAGTTGTAAGATTGTTGGCCACACGGGATTGTCCATTAGAAATCCCGGGAAGGTCCACATTAATATCAACATTTCGATGCAAGTACATAAATAATTCTACCTAATTCCGACCTCTGCTAATAACAGAAATTTTATTTAAAAATATAAATCGCTTACCATCTTGCTTGACAGTGTTGCCCAACGGACCGCAACTTGCGAGCCACACGAACAAGATCCACTTCAGCATAAGACCGTAGCCGCCAGTCTGCAGCTCAGGCTGATTGTGGAAGTGCCTGGCTGTCGGCTGTTGGCCTGGCGGGCTTGCCATACTCGACAGCTCACATTTGTTGATTGGCAACACTGTATTATCATTTGTTGTCGGATCCACTGGGGTTACTTGCGTCACATACACACTTTAATATTCAATTACAAACTACACTCCGAACTGTAAACTTTCTAAAGTAAATATACCAATTCATTAATCTCGTATGTGTTGTCAACATTTATGTTATCTTTATTATATTTGATCAATTTTACATTCATAATGCTAAGCTGGTAAATATTTCCAATTTAAAATGATTAATAATTCCACCAGTCCCAGGTACCCGAGATGGGATTCGAACCTACGAACTTTCGCTATCCGGGCGACTGCTACTGCTACTGATCTGGGACTGGTGGATAATTAAACATTTTTTATTAGATATAATTATTTTCTCGATTAAAATTCACCAAAAAACATTAGTAACCATGCCAAAACTTAGTTAGAATATGAATTAGTTAAGTTTGCTACTTTTTAATACCGATCCCTCTGCTCAATACGCAAATTAATTCAGTAGCGGCTCGCCGGAATTTTTATAAGCACCCGATAAACCTAAAATAATACTTAGGAAAGGGTTGGATTTAGATTTTTTATTCGTCTAACGTTGTTTTGCGGTATTAGTTGTATCGAGTTTTCTTGACGTAGATTTACTTATGATAATGGCTTGTCTGAAATAGGATTTTTAAATTACAAATATCATCATATAGGTATGTTACTTGAATCTTAACAAGGGATTCAACTTCCAAATTAAAGACTACCAATATTTCAGTGTCCAAGAAGCCTGGAAAGCATTCACAAAATAATCTTTACTGATATTATAAAGTGGATAGATTTGATTGTTTGTATTGAATGATTTGCGAAAGCACTATAACGATTTTATATATTCTTTCATCTACAAGAAGCTACATCATATGCAGATGGCATAGGCTATTATTGACGTGGGCAAAGTCGCGGGAAAACTAATAGCAGTATCAGCATATGAAATAAAAATATATTTATTCAAGTAAGCTTGTTTCAAGCACTTTTTAATCGGCCAATAATATTTTTCCCCTACCACTTGTTCAGGATGTCTTATAGCTGACAAGAAGAACAAGCGAAAGAAACTTATCAGCTCTTTATGATAAGTAATGGCATTTACATATATGACACATATATAATTGTTTTTCGTCAAGTATTCTAAAATTTAATGTAAACAAAATGTTACCTAATACAAAAAAAAATCTATGAACCTATAACGATTTCATTATGGATTCTATATACATTGGCGGCACCCCATCATTCGAATGGCAAACATCAGAAACGTCACACGTCCATTTCTCAGAGCTGAAGGAAATGGAATAGAAAAATCAGAGTCACTCTCCATGATGACTTAAAAGCTTACTTATCGGCAATCGGAACGTTTTGATTTATCGAGGTCACCTCGCCCTCACCTGGTGGGCCAGGGGAATGACTAGCGAGCTCGTTTCTGTTGATTCTGGTTGTTTATTAAATCCCACTGTTGTTTATTTAGATATAAAAATAATAATGGAACATATTGGATGGTCAACATTGCACCAAACTCATTGAAATTGCTATTAATAATTCATAGAAGTCAATTTTCAATGCCTTGATTATTATTAGAAATAAACTGACAACTTTATTTCAAATTAGCAAAAACTTTGTCTGGCCATCTTTAGGCGATTTTTGACCAGTGCTTTGCTTTTCTGTAAAAATAGCAAATGTGTCTAGCACAGCATATAAAAGTATTAAAGGTTCAATTAAATGGAAGTATTATTTTACCATTACTTTTATATTGATCCTCTTGCTGTCACAAGTACTGTGTTTGATACTGCAATCTTCACTGTATTTTTAACAGAAGAGGACTGCGGAATAGAATTGCAATTAAACAAATCTGGTGAAGTTATAAATAAAGAGTCTATGAACAATAAAATACATAGCAGTTCTTACAAAATATATTTCGTATTTTCTGTTCTTTGTCCGAAAATAAGATTCCTATTTACCGCAGTGTTATTTTTGAGAAAAATATTAATCATGAAACACAATGTCAGCGGTTTCTTGCAAGAAATTCACGAGTGGAAACGTTAACGAAGCGTACTCCGATATTAACAGCAAAGGCGTTTTAATAATTCCCATTGTTTCCTCTAAACAGATTTGGTGACACCGAAAGGGGAACGGGGGCTGGAAAGTGCGACAATTCAATTTTTCCCCGAAAATTAAGCCTTCAACTGTTTCTCGAAGTTGAATAGGAAAAATCTTTCTCGAGAAATTCTAAAGAATAACTGTGTCTTGAATAACAAAAAAATCATAGATAATTTTGGCCATTGTGGTTGTGTCCTTTCTTATAACATAAAATAAATAATAAGACTTTTGTATATTAGACAACAGGACAGTATACTGACAGTTAATCAGAATGGATTGTTTCTTAGAATATTTTGAGTATGCTTACTATACAGGTTTGTGAACTTAGTCGCACGATTGTTCTATAGTTCGTCTATAAAAATATTACACAGACAATCTGACAAAATACGATTGACTATTATTGCTTTAGTGCAGCGGTATTCGGTATTAGATTGAAATGACTAGCTTTTGCCCGCGACTTCGTCCGCGTGGTAAAGTTACTTTGAGCAACATATCTAACTAATATTTATTCATTATATCGTGTAAAATACCTGAAATAAACTTTCATCCCCTATTTTATCCCCTTGGGGGTAGAATTGATCAGAATCCTTTCTTAGCGGATGCCTACGTCATAACATATTTTTTTTTGTATAAAATCTCATAAAAGGGTGTAAAGAATAATATCACAAAAAATAATTGTTAATTTTATTATAATTACGAAGATAATTACGTTATTAATGTCGGTAGTGTCGCTTGTGTAAGTACGTACAAAAATGAAGGTACTCACTTACAGTCAATTTTGATCGGACATAACCGACGAGTGGATGTGTCGATCTTGCGTCGATCTGCCAGATACATAGTTAATGTCGGGAAAAATGCACGTAGGTTCTTTGAAGCGCCAAATTGTTGTGAAAAATTACATACACTCTGATTTAAAAAGATATAATGTCGGTCGACCGCAAAGAAGCAGATCCTCAAAGATTTTAAGCCTTATTTTACCAAAAAACGCAGTTGTTGAAAATGGTGCATGTAATGATACAGGTAATATTACAAAGTTATTAACTTTATATAAAGACTTGCCACTCATATTTTATTAATAAAATAGATTTCAAATTTATAATTTTGTATAGCAAATTATTTCCATTTTTTTGGTATAAGAAACAACGTATCTAGGAAAATTAACAAAATACATAGTTTTAAATACTTAGTCAAAAACTTCATACCTATTGTACAGAATTTAATCTAGTCAAAAATGTTAAATGTGCCACATCCGACATGTAGTATAGAATTTTAATAACAAAAAAAAAGTTGGATCTACCACATACTGCGTAAGATAGTAATATATGTCCATGTAAAATAGCTTCACATGACATTGTAACGTATATAAATTAAAATAAATTAATCTATTATATTTGTTTAATGTATCGTAGAATAAAAAACACCCATGCCTAATTCGTAATTCTAACCCTTAAAATATCGTTTTTATTCAACTTTTCATCTTTAAACCGCTCTCCTGTAAAGTTGCATATTTGTAGATACTACATTAATGATAGGGCGTGGCGATATATTCGCAAAAGGTCTCAGAAATATATTGAAAAAAATATATAAATTTGGAAATTTTCGACAAGAATCTACGTAAAATAAGTATAATAAAAGAAGTTCAATGTTAAAGTATCTAAATATGTAATAATAATTCTAAAAAGTTTTTTAGAATGATTAATACATATTTAGGTACTTTAAGATTGAACTACTCTTATAATTTTTACTTCTTAAAGGGATCTTAGGTTTTTGTTTAATTCTTCATTTATTTTATACATTTTATAGATACATACTTATTATAATGTAGATCTTGTAGAAATTTTTCAAATTGATATTTAAGGCAAAGCTTAAATTTAAGGTCTAGCTTGTTCGCTTTCATTCCACTTATTAATTACTTGTATTTGATTCTATAACCAGTAGTTGTTTCTTAATGTTTATATTAGTCTTCAAATCTTCAACATAATAATTTTCTCATCAACCGAAGCTTAAAACACTTTGGACCAAGTCGCGCTTTCATTTTTGACCTCACTCGAGTATATTTGCAGAAATTCGGTTATTCTTCTCCCACTTTCAGCACTCACAACTTTTAACGGCTCTACCGATTTTCATCAAACATGTCTAAGAACACTCGCACATAAGTCACCTTTGATAAAAAAAAACTGAATTGAAATCTCTTCACCCGTTCGAGAGCTATGATGCCACAGACAGACAGACGCACACAGACACGTCAAACTTCTAACACCCCCCTTTTTGTGTCGGTGGTTAATAAATTCTATTATAATTTATAAATTATGATGACGGTAGGGTAATGTAGTATTAACGTCACTTATCAGCCGACGAATAAAAATAAAAGTCATTGATGATAACATTTGAACCCGTTATCAGTGACACAGTCTTTTATACTTAAAACTTGTTAACCAAAATAATTACTGTACTCCATTCATTATAACATTAGAAAAAAGAGGGTCATAGAAGCACCAGTTCAGAACATTTTATTTTTAAGATATTTAAAAAAAATATATATTAGATTTTTAAAAAAACTTTGAACATTAGGGAGTCTGAAAGAGCTGGGCAATTTTCCATTTTTTACGATACCTCGGGGTTGAGATGAGGCCAGCATTTTATAAATTCATCTTTTACTCCCAAGCCAAAATGGAACTAAAACTATCTATCTGTTGTTTTGATAAATTCTAATTGTAAGTGTAATTAGTTAGGCTATTGATGAAGACATTGGAAAAACTTCCTGAAATGTCAATGGTTGAGGGTAGGCATGGGGGCTTAGAGTGTAATTTTTGTAGGCCACTCGGGCCTGCACCGGAATCGCAATTTAGCAAAACTTAACAACATAAAGA